TGGAAGCATTGTGAGGGTGGACAGTGGCCTGTCCATGGCCCATACTTTAATTTGGATCCCCCACCCAATGTCCACAGGTGGGAGCACAGGGGAACATGTGCCAGCTCCTTCACCCCGCCTGCCCCCCAACTCCTGTATGTAGCTCACAAGCAAAGAGGCAACAATAGCTGCCCATTTTCTAGTCTTTTATGACAATGAGCAGCCGCTGGCTGCTCACTGTGTAGTAGACATGAGCACACCTCTCTAATTGTAATATGGGAGTTATATTGACCCCCAAAGCACATTTATCAGTGGTTTTATTTGGGTTTATATTGGGTTCAGCTGTTGGAATCCAGCTGGAATTAAATCTAGTCAGACTTTAAAAAAAAAAAAAAAATCATCCAAAACAGTTGCTATTTACCATTTTACAAAAAAAGAGAATAAATCCCAGATCCTTGGGTTGCTTTAAAAGTTGAGGACTGAAAGTGTCTACACATCTTTTTTGCTTTTGGAATACTACAAATGGACAAATAACCATGCAATAACAGTTGTATTATAATAATTGTTATATCGCAGAACTTCTGGATTTGTAAACTATACTTGATCTCTTTTTTCTACGATTAATGGTCACTCTCTTAATTTTTTGGTTTACCCGTACAACAACCCGTACAAAGAGCATTCAGAGTTAGTCTGAGAGCATCATTAAACAATGCCTATTACCGGCACCCAAGGCAAACCTTCCAGATCAATGTGATGACTGGAAGGAGGACAAAGGAGGCAGTGTGAACTTGTGCCCAGGGGAAAATGTCAGTATTAAGCCTTTCAAGAAAGGTTTAACCAGTTTAGTTGAAATTGGTATGGGGGATGGAATTTGAGTGCTTTTTAATTTGCATTATTCACATTTAACCTGCATTATTCACATTTAACCTGTCATTGGCTTCGCAGACCACCTTATTATGTGTAAATTCAGCCCAGGAAACAAGGTCAACCCAGTTGTCCCGATGTTCAGATACAAAACAACTTAAGTATTGTTCCAACTTTTAGTTGGTTCGTTCTGCTGCCCCATTGGATTGGGGTTGATAAGCTGATTAAAAAAAAACAAGTCTGATACCCAACTGTGTACAGAAACCCCCCCAGAAACAAGAAATAAATTGCGTTCCTCTATCTGATACAATTTCCATTGGTATGCCATGCAACCTAAACACATCTTTGGCAAATATGTCAGCCAAGTCTGGTGAAGAAGGCAGCTTTTTCAAGGGGATAAAATTAGCCATTTTAGAACACTTGTCTACAATCGTTAAGATAACAATTTCCTTATCTCACACTGGTAAATCCACAATAAAATCCATTGCTATACTAACCCACGGCTTGTTAAGTATATCCAAGGTTTGTAACAGACCACAAGTGAGAGCATGGGGCCGTTTAGTTTTAACACACACGTAACATGCCAAAACATAATCCATCATGGTAAAAGGAAAGTATGTCTTTTTGATGGTCAGGAGGTATGTATTTCTTGTCAGTAGGAGTACATTTAGGTGCTATATTTTGTTTGGCTTCTATAATAGTACTTAGATCAGAACTTATCTTAACACACATATTAGCTACAATATTTTGTCTGGGCACAATGGCTGTTATCTCTGTTTTAAGACAGGCTTGGGGTTCATACTGATGAGACAAAGCATCAGATTTGCCATTTTTGATCCAGGTCTGTAAAACCTCCCTAAAAACCACCCCCCAAAAACACGTCTGCAAGGTAAGATAAATCCTTTTGATCAGTTAAGATTGTAATGGGAGTTACTTCCAACAGATGTCGCTATTCCTTCAAGGCTTGGATAATGGCCAACAGTTCCCTGTAACCAATCACATATCTATTTTCAGTGTCCATCAATGTTTTAGAATAATATCTGTAAGGATGCAAGGGTTTATCAGGACTCTTTCGTTGAGACAACACTGCTCTCACCCCTGTCTCTAAGGCATCAACCTCTAGCAAATAAGGCAATGTGGGATCCACATGCACTAATTTCGGAGCAGAGGCAAATTATGTTTTCAAGGTATCAAAAGCTTCCAATGCGTCTTGTGACCAATGTTTTTTCTCATATTGGTAATCACCGCTATTATAGATGATAAACTTTTTATAAATCTCCTATAATAATTAGAAAAGCCTATGGACCTTTGTATGGCTTTCAGTCCCTTCAGCAGAGGCCATTGAAGAATGGATTCAAGTTTCCTAGAATCCATAGAAAACCCTTTATCAGAGATGATTAGACATGTGCAGTTCGTTTCGGTCCGAATTTAAATGCGGATGAATTTCGGCAATTCGGACATTCGGAAGCTTCTGAATTGCCGAAGTAGCGAATTTCGGAAGTGAAGAACTGAAGTGCCGAATTGCCGAAGTCCTGATTTTCAGAAGTGCTGAACCGAACCAAAATGCTGAATTGCGGAAGTCCTGAATATCAGAAGTCCCGAATTTCAGAAGTGTTGAACTAAATTTTTTGCCCATGCACATCCCTAGAGATAATGTTACCTAGAAAAGCGATTTGAGTTTTATTGAAAAGACACGTTTCAAGTATAAACTGTTTTGTAGTAATCTGGTTAGTACCTTCTGAACATGTACACGATACGATTCATTGTCTTTGGAATAAATCAGAATGTTTCCAAGATCGACAATAGCACAGTAATGGAAGAAGTCCCTTAGTACATCATTAATTAGATCCCAGAGAGCAGAAGGAGCATTGCATAAACCAAAGGGTATTACAATATACTCGTAATGCTAACGGGTGTTAGAAGCTGACTTCCAGGGTGGAGTTTGGCGGCCGACCTGAATGGATGCTTGATCAACAGGCTCCGCATTTCCACTAGAGATATTAGCGACACTTAGATAATTTAATGTGGCAAAGATACCTCTGCCATGATTTCTGGAGGAGCCTGCTGGCTAGCCTCCTGCCCAAGGA